GCCCCAGGCCCTCACTGCCCCATTGTCTGTGTCCATGGGCCATGCATATATGCACACAAGGTCTTTGGTTACCTCTCACCCACCCTCCCTCCCCTGCCTTCCCTCTGAGATTCCGCACTCTGTTCCCTGCTGCCATGTCACTGGGTCCACTCCGTTTATCAGTTTATTTTGTTCATTAGATTCCACATGTGAGTGAGATCATGTGACACTTGTCTTTCTCTGACTGGCTTCTTTCACTTAGCACAGCGGTTCTCAACCTGTGGGTCTCGACCCCTTTGGGGGTCGAACGACCCTTTCACAGGGGTCACCTAAGACCATCGGAAAACACATCTATAATTACATATGGTTTTTGTGATTAATCACTATGCTTTAATTATGTTTAATTTGTAACAATGAAAATACATCCTGCATATCAGATATTTACATGACGATTCATAACAGTAGCAACATTACAGTTACGAAGTAGCAATGAAAATAATTTTATGGTTGGGGGTCACCACAACATGAGGAACTGTATTAAAGGGTCGCGGCATGAGGAAGGTTGAGAGCCACTGACTTAGCATGATACTCTCCAGGTCCCTCCATGCTGTCTCAGAGGGTAAGAGAGCCTTCTTTTTTCCTGCTGCGTAGTATTCCGTGGTGTAAATGTACCATGGAAACGGGAGGCAGACCCCTGAGAAGCCGCGGAGCGTGGACTGTGGTTGGGGTGTGGCGGGGGGCTGGGCGGAGCAGCAGCTACAACAAGTGGGGAAGGTTTGACTCCTAGAAACGTCTGTCCAGATGGACGGCATTCAGGAAAGTTCAGCTTGACGCCATCTTTTTAAAGAAACTCCTAGTAGCCCTGCCCCTCACCATGGTCCCCGGTGAACTCCTATTCACCCTTCAAAGCCCCAGCTCCTCCCTGCAGGGGGCGTCCTGCAACCTTTGGCTCCATGTTACTTGATCTGTGCCTTTTCCATGTCGTGTTGGAATGGACGGCTGCTGCGTCAGCTTCCCCAGATGTACTGGGAAGAGGCTGCTGCGTCCCACCCATCCTTTGCCCCGGTCTCGGGCCAGGGCTGGTCAGTTGGAAGGCGCTGTGGCTGGGCGGAGGCCTGGACACACAGCTCCCTGTAATTTCTCACTCCGGCCACTGGGTGGCAGTGTTGACACGGGCCAGCGGGACCGATGGGGTGCGGGAGGCTGGACGTCCAGGGAGCTGAGGAGGGAAGGAGGGTGTTTGCGGAGACAGGTCTGCTCCTGAATGCAAGCCCCCGATTGCTCACCAACCGGAAGGGCAGGAGACGCCCCTGCCTCGGTCGCCTGGCTGTCGCACGGGAGCCACAGACCCGGGGCGCCGACAACTGACATTGATCCTGACGCCGGGGGCTGGGGGAGGACAGGGTGTCGGCCGCTCCATCTCCGACGAGGACAGTGGTCACCAGGTCCTGGCACGTGGCTGCCTCCTGGGCCTCACACGGACTGTGTGCCTGGGAGACAGACAGAGATGAGGGGAGAGGCTGGGAGACAGAGAGACGGGGGACAGAGAGATGGGGGACAGAGAGACGGGGGGACAGAGAGA